ACTCTAAAGGTCTGGGTTAAAAAGAAAAGAAAATGACTCGGAAAAGTATCGCACTTTATGCCTACGTATTCCCGTCTGGAACGAGAAATCAGAGTCAACGTAGTTCGCCTAACTACGGGCTAAAGGGGGGGAAGGTTGCTCGCCGAGATGTCGCATCTCGTGCCTACGTACTTTCATACGGCATGAAAGATCAGAGCAAACGTAGTTCGGGCTACGGAAGACACAAGCTTGTCTGACAGTTTTTTATCTCCTTAAGAAAGGGTTTTCCTAATTAAAGGTCCAAGAGGACAAAAACAGAGTTTGAATGTTTGTTTGATTTTTTTACGAAAGAACTGTTTTTTTAGGATGTTTGCAATCTCAGTCGCACTAGAGACTATGACCCAGGAGTGAACGCTTCGTATGTCACCCAAAGGGTACCACACTGACATCCAGATTACTGGAGAGAGACCCTCCACCAACCTTTTCCCAGATAGCTTAAGGCTCGTAACGTACGACTTCAATTAACCTTATTACTGTATTTTTGAATTGTTTGAGATGAGAAAAGAAAGACACCCTAAAACTATGGTTGAAAGGGGAATCTAACTACAGTTATAATGCATGGGTCAAAACCTAATGTCTGTCATAATTCCCTTTTGCACAGAGGAAATCAGAGATCCTAGGGGAAACAGCAAAAGAAAACAAGTAGTAAACAATAAACAGTAAAATGCATGCTATGCAACAGTACAAGCGAGGCAAGGGAGAAAACAACAGGCAAGAGGAGACAAGCTCCACCTCAAACCTAGAGGTAATCAACATAAGCAAACAGACAATACAACAAGAGAAGAGAAACAGAGGAAGCAATCCAAGCAACAGCAACAGTCTTCAGCAGACAGCAACTTCAATACTCAACAGCAGCAGCTCTAAACAGCAAATCCTCTTGACAGTAAAGTTGACAGCAAAAGGCTTCATCCTCAAGCTAGCTTCTATCTTCAAGCTTCATCAAACTTCATCTTCAAGCTCTAGCAAGCACACTCCAAGCAAAGGATTAATAACTAAGATCAAGGTTGCAATGTTGAGAACCAAATGAAAACCAAAGGAAATCATCAAGTACCAACATTGAAATGGAAGGGCATCCTCAAAGTTCTACTCAACTATGGGCATACCACACATCCTCAAAGTATTATTATTATTATTATTATTATTATTATTATTGTTATTATTATTATTATTGTTATTATTATTATTTTTATTATTAACAAAAATAATAATAACAATAATAATAACAAAAATAATAACAATAATAATAATAATAACAATAATAATAATAATAATAATAATAATAATAATAAGGAAATAGAAAGGAGAAATAAAATAAATAATAATAATAATAATAATAAAAAAGACTAGGCAGACTAGTATGAAGGGAGTGTCAAAGAAAAAAAGTTTCTAAGCCCAAAGGCTACAAGGTCCAACGCCCTGAGGATCTACCACAGATCTTTGGTCATCCCAATTGACCGTTGATGGGGTTCTATCCATTAGATCTAAGATGAGTTAATTGTTGACTTCATCAGAGGGTCTAAAACGATGGTGCAGGGTAGGATATAGGGGAATGCACGTAGGAAAGCCAACTGAAGAAAAAACTCTGAAAAAAATGACGGTGACCAGTGTCACCATCTTCTTCAGCCAACTCAAAGAAAAAGTTAAACACACATTGGCAAGGAGACTAAGTGGAACGTGATAAGGCCCAAGCATCAACAGATACCAAGCGTGAAAATCAATTATGCCATCTCTTAATCTTCCCTCACAGTACTCTCTTTTCTCTCTAAACAAACCAAATCTAACCTGAAGAAAACCAATGGCCACGAGTATGAAACTCACGGCAGTGACACCTTTCTTCAAACCAAAACCTTGTTTCGAGCCCCTCACCTTCCTAAATGGTACTTCCAAACCCCAAATCTAACAAATATGATTTCCAGAAGACAATCCTAAAACCCCTAAAGCCACAGCATAAAACAAAAACCCTAGATTTTTTTAAACCAAAATCAAATTAACAAAACCAAACAGAACAAACAATTAAAGGAGGAATCTTCCTCGTTTCATCAAGGCAAAGACAGAAGTAACGTAACAAATGATTAAAGGAGAAAGCAAGATACCAAAACGGAGTCAATCTGAGGATAATATTTCGGCGAACTCAGGTATGTAGCCCCCTTCGACTCTCTATGTTTTTAATTCCTTTCTCCTTCTTCTTTCACGGCCGTTAGGGTTTTTGTGTATTCGAAACTTAGGATTTTCTTGTGATGTAGAATTTTTAGGGCTTTCTCAGTTGTATATGGTGGCTCATCCGTGTGTAGCCAGATTAGGGGTTTTTGTTTGTATGATGAATAGTGCCCCCTTTTTATAGTGTATCGATTAGGGTTTTAATGCTAGGAATCAGGGGACAATCCGTCACTAGTGGAAACACGTATGGAATTCTTGTATGTGTGGTAGAGCATGAATTATAATATCCTGCAGCTGGGAATTTTTGTTTTTGTTTGTAGTGAGGAAAAATACATGGTCCTACCTTCTTTGCTTTTTCTGCCAAATGAAGTTTGTAACACAATAGCTTAAACCAAAACCATGTATTGTTGCTTGGTACTCAATATGGGTGGGACCTGAACATGTGTGAGTTTGATGAAACGCTATTGAGTATGATAAAATGAATATGCTTGATTAGAAAATCGTTATGAATTGTTCATGATGCCTTATGAAATTAGATCTAATTTGAATGATTTGGGATATTAAAAAATGTGTGGGTGTCTATGATATGAGCTGAATGATGAAATTGGGATTGACTAACATTGGACTAGGTTAGGATTGGTATTTGAAATGGTTGGTCTTGAATTCAAATAAGATTAGAAACCTGACTTTTCTTAAACTGTCACTTAAATGCTGGCAATTGGTTTGGAACTTCCCCTCTCTTAAATTGAATTGGAAGTGAAATGTGAATCTTGCGAAATACCAATTGTTTTCCGCATCTAACATAACTCTGCTATGGTTGTGCAGGGAATTAATAACTTTGGCTGGGTTAACAGAGTTGAGATTAATGGTGGGAGATGTGTGTTGAGGCTTGTGAAACTTAACAGCATGTTCCAAAGCCAGCGCTGCAAACCTTGATGATAGCATATCAAATGACTTGTAAGTGAGAGTATTTGTTCAAACCCTTCTTGATTTCTCCAAGCTAAAACACTTTGTAATTAGTATAGTTTAGAGTCTTGCGGTGCACAAAATTTATGGTTGGACCGAACTGACAGTGTGTTTATCATGGTGTTGCAGGTTTGCATTGTTTGATGAGCAGTTTACGTGGAAATCGTGTGTAGGGAACATTGACTTGGCCTGGACTTTACAGAATCGAAATCTCAAGAAAAAAAACTGTTACTGGAGTCAGACGGCAACGTGAATGAGCAGATGGTGGAATTGTGATAGACACATCTGATAGTGATTTGTAATTCTTTTTAGGCGATTTGTAACTTTCCTTGTGAATTGTAAGCAACATGAATTCAAACTTTTGTAATGATATTGGAATTGAAACATGACCTTTAATTTGAAACGCAAATTGAAATTTGGAATGAGGTTGGATTTGAGTTTACTATATGGAATGAACCAACTTGTAACTTGATAGTTCTTAGAACAAGATCTTGGAGACTTTGAATCATAAATTGAACATTTTGGAAAATGAGTGTGAATTAAATGATTTGAATTGGTGGTCATGAATTGGAAAGGGTCTTATGAGATTTGAAATATAAATTGAAACGTAAATAGAATTTAAACTTGGAATACTTGAAGTAAACATGAAATGGATATAAAATTTGACATATAGCTTGGAACAAATTTTTTTTTAATGGAACTTAAACCTGAATGAAAAAAAAGAAAAGGATTTGAAATGTGACCTGAGTTTTGATTATAATTAAAACTTGAATAAGTGAAACTTTATGGAACCTTTTGGAATGAAAATGGCTTGACATGGAAAGAACTTATTTGTAACATTGTCGTTGAATTGGTTTCTTGAAACAAATTTGCCACCTGGAAAGAACTCACATCCTTAGAATTACCTTTAAATTGACCATTTGAAATAATTTCAATCACAAGAGTTATTCTTAAATGGATCTAATGATGTATCCTGGACCTTTAGAACACTCAAAACTTGTCCATGGATTCAAACATGACTTTTCATGAGTTTGCAAATAGGAGTTCATCCTTTGAACTTAAAACCAAATGGCCTTGCTACTTTCAAACCTCTAGCAAACAAAATGAATCAATTTCTCAATGGCTTCATCTTGAATCAAGTGAGGTTTTAATCTTGGCCCATGTGAAAACTCCCTAGGGCCTTATATTGTTTTAAAGAGAAATTAAAACCCAACTTGTCAATTCAAATGCAACACAAACCAAAAGATGATGATGATGGTGAATCCAAGATATGAAAGACTAGGGTGAACAACAAAAATAAAAATAAAAAATGAGGGCATGACAATCACTATAGATCATTTGTTACCATGTCTGGAACATATTACACTCGGTTAGTATTCTCTTATTCATCTTTTTCTATAATGTTGAGATTCTGTTTAAAACAAGGAGGATGTTGTCCACTCAACTAAGTTATGAGAGATACAAGATGATAAGAACAAAAGAGATTATTAAAGTCGCACGTTGTTTTCTCAACAAATAATCTTTATATAACTTTAAAAAAACCATATATATTTTAAACCATATGTAATTCTTGTTTTTATTTCCCCAGCCGCTTTCCAAATCCATTTCGTCCCTTCCCATGTCATTTTATCTTGGTGGGTAGTAGTCATATTTGTCTTACATTCCAAACCCGTCACCACATAAACCACTTGCAGAAAACACCAATATCCTTACAATAATGCACTCACTTCGTTTAGTATTTTTCATCTTCTTTTTTCTCTATATATTCCAAATTTCAACTTCTCCTCTTCACATAAACCCACCTTAGTAATTTTCATTATTATTTCTACAAAAAGAAAATGTCCAAAACTTTAGTGGACGAGTGTCGTGGCGTACTTCATGTTTATAGCGACGGTTCCATAGTCCGCTCTGCAACCCCAGCCTTTAACATCCCAGTTCATGACGACGGCACCGTTTTATGGAAAGATGTCGTTTTTGACTCAGCTCATGATCTTAAGCTTCGGCTCTATAAGCCAGCTAATTCTGTAAAAGGCTCTAACCTTCCGGTTTTTTACTACATTCACGGCGGTGGCTTCTGCATCGGCTCGCGCACATGGCCAAACTGTCAAAACTATTGCTTCAAGCTCGCTTCTCAGCTTCAAGCCGTAGTGGTTTCCCCTGATTATAGACTCGCCCCGGAGAATCGGCTCCCGTGTGCGTTTGAAGATGGCTTCACGGCTGTTAAGTGGCTCCAACAACAAGCCGTGAGTAGTAACCCGGACTCTTGGTTGAACGACGTGGCTGATTTTAGCCGGGTTTTTATCTCTGGTGACTCGGCCGGTGGCACGATGGCTCACGATTTGGCAGTTCGGCTTGAGTTTGGTTCGACCGAGCTGGAACCGGTTCGGGTTAGGGGTTATGTTCTTCTAGCACCGTTTTTTGGTGGAACGGTTCGAGAAAAATCAGAAGCTGAAGGACCAAAGGATGCTTTTCTAAACTTAGAACTTATTGACAGGTTTTGGAGGCTTTCAGTACCAATTGGAGAGAACACAGATCATCCATTTGTGAATCCATTTGGACCAGATAGTAAGAGGTTTGAGGAAATTGATCTTGATCCAATTCTGGTAGTTGCTGGAGGAAACGATTTGCTTAAAGATAGAGCAGAGGAATATGCAAATAGGCTTAAGGATTTGGGTAAAAATATAGAGTATGTTGAATTTGAAGGACAACATCATGGGTTTTTTACTTTTGATCCGGATTCTGAACCGTCAAAAAAGTTGACGTTGGTCATCAAAGGATTCATAGAGAAGTATTAGGGAAATATGTTTGAGAGCTTCAAGCATTACTACGACATGCAATTTTATTTTACTGTAGTAGATTTATCCAGAATTCAAAAGCTGTGTTGGATTGTAATTTGCAACTGTACACGTACACGCAGTACATTGGTGATAACCCACCGGTGCAGAGTCGGTAAGAACCGCAAGTAGTTGATTTTCTGCTAGTATGTGTTGCGGTGAGAATCGTGATACCAAACTATTTATTAACTTGAATCTTTAATTCTTAAATTACAACCAGACTTTAATTTATCCAAAGAAAAAGTCTAAAAAAAGAAAAACCTTTTTCGCGATATAACAACAAAGCTAAGAGATTCGGGGATCGGGGGTTAGTTATGCATAGGGTAGGTATTTCACATCCTAAACATCTGTAGTATTCTACAGGAACCTTTTGTTTGTTTGCATGCTAAGTTTGGTAAATGTTTGCTATGGATTGGGATTGGGTAAGAGGTTAAGATCTAAGGATAGTTTCTAAGTTTGCTCGCAAATACGTCGCGTCTTCTGCTACTATCCTAACTAGGATAGAATCAGAGCAACCGTAGTTCACCTCACAAGGGATGAAGAACACTTGATTATGATCAAGGTTCAAAGGGGAACAAACATATCCATGTTTGGGTAGAGTTTAAGAAAACTCTCTAGATCTATGTTGAACTCTCAAGAAAGGGGAGTAAGTAATCATATTCATGATTCTTACATAGAGTTAAGCAAACTCTATCCTAAAGTTCTACGTTGAAAAAGCACTCCTAGTATAGGTATGTTTTCTAGACTTAAAGCAAAGTCTAAGGCTTACATGTTCTATACTTAACCAAACTAGGGTTAGGATAACTTCACAAAGTCAAGAGAGGGATAAATGAGCTATCCAATGACACAAGGGTCAAGGGAGAGACTTTTCCCTTGGAAGGAGAGAGAGAGAGAGAGAGAGAGAGAGAGAGAGAGACAACGTGGATGAGAAGTAAAAAGTTCCATCACTTGGGGAAATAATACTTAACAAAGCAAGATAAAATAAGGTTACAATCAAGTAAGCATGAATATTACAATAAGCAGATACTTCAAATAATACCAATGGTTACAACCGATAATCAATCATCTTAACAAAGATTGGAGCATATCTTAACAAAGATTGAGGACATATCTTAACAAAGATTGAAACATGATGAAGGTAACTACCACATAAACCACAATTTGAAAGTAGGCATGTCATAAGTTCAAAGCAATAGCAAGTGTAACAACAATATGCATAGATGATAATTGAACATAGGTAAATCAGTTTAAACCTCATAATTTAGGAGGAATGTAAAATAAGATCATGGTGACCACCAAAGGGGAGTACCCTAGCATGTTAACTAACAAGGGGAATAAAGATCTCACAAGAAAATCAAGCATGCTCAAAGGAATTCAACTGCAAGTAAGATCACAATCACAATAAAGGAACAAATTTCCACATGGGCAAAATGCATCACAATTTATGACAACAAGTAATATTCCCACATCATATAAAAATAGACATTATAACAAACACAATGCAAAAAGAATGAACCAAAAAGGATGAAAAATGAGAGAGTTATGACTTTTTGAAGATTTAATGAATTATGACAATAAATCAAACAAATAATAACAAGCAAAAAAAAAATGAAAGGAAAGGGGCCACGCTGGGAGTTGAACCTAGGCCCCTATGTTCACAAACTCAGGGTTTAGCCACTTGGGCATATGGCACACGCTACCAAGGTGAAAAACATGGTGAAGCATAAAAAAAAACAAAAGAACAAAAGGATTCGACCTCCACACGGGTCGAACCCAGGTTTGGCTAGTGTAAGGTGAGATATGCGCGCATGCTTCTACCACTGGGGTGGCTATACATCCGTTGATATAGCCACCCCCATAAATATATATGGCAAGTTTACATGATATTCTGGGCAAAACATGAAGCAAAAACAAGGCAATGTTCCAAATGCGTTTTAATGTCAAACTCATTCATTTCATAACCAAATCAAACAAACCTTAGATCAAACTTGGGTGTTTTTAAACAAGGAAAAAGATGGTCCAGCTAGAATTTTGAAAAGATGCTTTGAAATGCAAACACGATAGTAGTTGCAATTTTTGATGAAAAATGCATTTATAAAGCAAATGAACAAACCAGTCATGCTATGGTCAGGGAAAGGGCTCAAACACAATTCAAATATCATGTATATCAAGTTCATACATTCAAAACAAACACTCATGAATTAAAATCCCAACTGTCATGTGAAAATGAGATGAAAATCAAGACACTTGCAAGTGAGATAGTAAGATTATGAAACATGCCAAAATAAAGTGAATGAATCACACAAACATCTTCAAAACAACATATAGAGTGTGTCTAAACCTTAAGAAAGCTCACAAACAACATGGATTTTAAAAAACCTATGACAGCTGCAAATTAGTGAGTGAAGTGCATTTTCAAAGCCACAGCTCCAATCACTCATGCTTAAAATAATTTGAAGGTCCTCACACACTCCAAATATAACATATATGAAGTTCCAAAACAGATGAAGCTTAAATCTCAACTTGAATATAAAGTGGCTTATGGTTTTGCAATTTATGACATAAGTTGCAAAAAACAAGTTTCAAAACAGTTGAACAGATACACATCAAACAATCACTATGATTTGAACAACATGAATTGAATACCAATAGACTCCTTAATCAAACTCACAACTGGTCTAGATAGCAGTACCACACCAAAATCAAACCAAACCTGCCACTTGAATTAAGGCTAACAGATCTACAACTGATCCTAAACAGGCCAATGACACAAATGTAACTTAGCATGATAACGCCTACATCAATCACTTAAATACCAACTCCAATGCAAGTTTACTAACTTAGGGTAGTAGGCAACATAAGGAGCACAAGTGTTCTTCTTTCAAAACAGGTTTGACAGCTATGGTATGCAAACATAGTTCAAGTGAAAGAAAAAAGATCTCTCATCAACAAACAAATACATACACACACCACAAGTATAGAGCAAAATGAGTTACCACTCTGAGATTGATCATTATGCAAGTAAACATGGTTTTGGTATGTGGTCATGACAGTTTTGGCTCAAAATGCAATTAAGTAGTGAAATGCAAGTGTAGGTAATCTTAGACCAAACCAAACATGTCCACACCTTAGAATCAAACATGTGAATGAGTTTCAACTCTACAATCATGTATATGCAAACAGAAATGCAACTTGGGTATGCTTGTGGCAGATTTAGTGTATATGTGCAAATGGAAAGTGAATTGTGAAAACAAGCCAGGACAGCACAAGTAATCAATATGCACACACCAAAAAAGTCATCATGAAGGTGTTTTAGGTTCAAGTAAGAGCATGTATCAAGTAGAATGAAGATTGTTGTATTGGTGCAAAAATTGAAAAAAACTGCCTAGGCAAAACATTCACCCCAACAGGGCAATTTTAAGGCAATGATTTCTTTCATGAAAAGGAGGTTATATACACATTATGATGATGCTAACAGATGATATGCAACTCAGAAAAGGAGTGAAATCTTTACCAAAACAGAAATTAGCATTTGAAGCTCATGTCATACAACAACAACAATTTGAATGTACAATAAGCCATAACCATGACAGTTGGAGAAATTGAGATCATGCACAAGTTTTAAATGGATATAATAAAGATTTAATGCACATAAATCATGTAGACAATGCTTGGAACAGAATATGAGATGTTGACCTCATGATATTTTGAAGAGTGCAACAGTTGAGACGTGATATGGTAATTTGAACACTTAAGCAGATTTTGAACACAAAGATATCATACATATTCTTGAAATAGGTAAATAAGTGAGTCTCTAAACATAGAGTCAAGCAAAAAGCACACCAAGCAAAAAGTGGCATGTTGAATCAAATTGGACAGCAAAATCAACCAAGACTTCAAAACAGAAAAATGTAACAACATTCACATCTTTCATATTTCCACCAAGACACACATCATGAACAAAATCACACATTGACCAAAGACTTAAGACATAACAAGCATAACCACTTGGAAACCACCTCATAGCAATGATAGGCAAGACAAACATGAAAATATCACAATGAGAACAAAGGCCCATTGATTCACACATGATCAAGGGCAAGGGGAGATCTATGAGCAACTTACAAGTTATCTACATATCTCACTAATGAGCTAGGTTTATAGTTCTAGGACAAGCCTATCACTTTTCAAGGTTGGATCCTAAACCTACCAAATGACCAAAAACTCACAAATAAGTCTAAACATGATAATAAGGCACAAACTTGCAATCTATCATCCACATATCATTTACAAGTGACAATATATTTGACAAAATAAGCATTAGGATCATAAAACTAGGATTCTTGACAAAGAAGCACAATAGGGCAGCCATGGTATGTTTTCACACAAATCACCACAAAATGACAATACATGACAATGTATGATTTATAGATAGTTAGAATATCACATACCTCTTGTTGACCAGCCTTGAACAAGCTAAAAAGCTTAGAAACCCAGAGATACTCCTTCCTTTGTAATGAGGTGAAGCTTACTTCCTCTTGAAGCAACAAAACCAAACTTTAAGACAGTTGGAGTTAGGTGATTTCCAGTTGATTTTCAATGCTTTGGACAGTTGTAATATGACATATGTGAGGTGTGTGGATGGTTAGAACAACAAGAACAAGCCTAGACAAGGATTTGGCAAGTTTTGAGTATGGTGGTCAAACTTTCTTGGTGTGAAAGTTGACTTTTTGCAAAATGGTAGTTTTGAGAGATTTAAGGGTATAGACACCTTCTATATTATATTTAGGGATTGTGAGGATGATTTTTAGAGGTTTAGAAATGATGGAACTGGTCTCGAGCAGAGTTTTGCTCAAGACAGCTTTTTGGTGAAAATGGAGATTTTGAGGTTTTTGAGATTCTTGAAGAATGAGAGGAGAGAGAGAGAGCTATGTTTTCTCTGGTTTTTTGAGATTTCTCTG